GATCCCATTTGTCTATCTTGGCTTTTGTTGTCATTGCTTTTGGTGTTTTAGTCATGAAGTCCTTGCCTATGTCTCTGTCCTGAATGGTTTTGCCTAGGTTTTCTTCTAGGATTTGTACGGTGTTAGGTCTTATGTTTAAGTCTTTAATCCATCTGGAGTTAATGTTAGTGTAAGGTGTCAGGAAGGGGTCCAGTTTCTGCTTTCTGCACATGGCTAGCCAGTTTTCCCAACACCATTTATTAAACAGGGAATCCTTTCCCCATTGATTGTTTTTGTCAGGTTTGTCAAAGATCAGATGGTTGTAGATATGTTGTGTTGCCTCTGAGGCCTCTGTTCTGTTCCATTGGTCTACATCTCTTTTTTGGTACCAGTACCATGCTGTTTTGATTACTGTAGCCTTGGAGTATAAAGTCAGGTAGTGTGATGCCTCCAGCTTTGTTTTTTTGTTGTTGTCATTGTTGTTTTTGTTTTGTTTTGTTTGTTTAGAATTGACTCAGCTATGCAGGCTTTCTTTTGTTTCCATGTGAAGTTTAAGGTGGTTTTTTTCCAGTTCTGTGAAGAGGGTCATAGGTAGTTTGATGGGGATAGCATTAAATCTATAAATTACTTTGGGCAATATGGCCATTTTCACAACATCGATTCTTCCTCACCATGAGCATGGAATGTTTTTCCATCTGTTTGTGTCCTTTCTTATTTCCTTGAGCAGTGGTTTGTAGTTCTTGAAGAGGTCCTTTACATCCTCTGTTAGTTGTGTTCCTAGGTATTTTATTCTCTTCATAGCAGTTCATTCTTGATTTGGCTCTCTTTAAGTCTGTTATTGGTATATAGAAATGCTTGTGATTTCTGCACATTGATTTTGTATCCTGAGACTTTGCTGAAGTTGCTTATCAGTTTCAGGAGATTTTGGGCTGAGACGATAGGGTCTTCTAAATAAACAATCATGTCGTCTGCAAATAGACACAATTTGATTTCCTCCTTTCCTAATTGAATATCCTTTATCATTTTCTTGCCTGATTGTTCTGGCTAGAACTTCCAATACTACACTGAATAGGAATGGTGAGAGAGGGCATCCTTGTCTAGTGCCAGATTTGTTTTTGCCTATTCAGTATGATACTGACTGTGGGTTTGTTGTAAATAGCTTTTATTATTTTGAGATACCTTCCATCAATACTTAGTTTATTGGGAGTTTTTAGCATAAAGGCTGTTGAATTTTGTCGAAGGCCTTCTCTGCATCTATTGAGATAATCATGTGGTTTTTGTCTTTGGTTCTGTTTATGTATGTGGTGGATTACTTTTATAGACTTGCGTATGTTGAACCAGCCTTGCATCCCCGGGATGAAGCCTACTTGATGGTGATAGATAGATATGCTTTTTGATGTGCTGTTGCAATCGGTTTCCCAGTATTTTATTTACGATTTTTGCATGGATGTTCATCATGGATATTGGCCTGAAGTTTTCTTTTCTTGCCGAGTCTCTGCCAGGTTTTGGTATCAGGATGATGTTGCTATCATAAAATGATTTGACTAGGACTCCCTCTTTTTGAATTGTTTGGAATAGTTTCAGAAGAAGTGATACCAGCTCCTCTTTGTATGTCTGGTAGAATTCGGCTGTGAGCCCATCTGGACCTGGGCTTTTTTTGGTTGGTAGGCTATTAATTGCTGCCTCAACTTCAGCCCTTGTTATTGGTCTATTCGGGGTTTTGGCTTCTTCCTGGTTTGGGCTTGGGAGGATGCAAGTGTCCAAGAGTTTATCCATTTCTTCCAGGTTTACTGGTTTATGTGCATAGAGTTTTTTGTAGTAATCTCTGATGGTAGTTTGTATTTCTGTGGAATCGGTGGTGATATCCCGTTATTGTTTGTTATTGCCTCTATTTGATTCTTCTCTCTTTTCTTTTTTTTATTAATCTTGCTAGTGGTCTATTTGTTGATCTTTTCAAAAAACCAGCTCCTGGATTTATTAATTTTTGAAGGGTTTTTTGTGTCTATATCTCCTTCAGTTCTGCTCTGATCTTAGTTATTTCTTGTCTTCTGCTAGCTTTTGAGTTTTGTTGATCTTGCTTCTCTAGATCCCTCAATTTTGATGATAGGGTGTTGATTTTAGATCTTTCCTTGCTTCTTGTTTGAGCATTTATTGCTATAAATTTTCCTCTAGACACTGCCTTAAGTGTGTCCCAGAGATTCTGGTACTTTGTTTCTTCATTCTCATTGGTTTCGAAGAACATCTTTATTTCTGCCTTCCTTTCATTGTTTATCCAACATTCAAGAGCCAGTTGTTCAGTTTCCATGAAGTTGTGTGGTTCTGAGTTAGTTTCTTAATCCTGAGTTCTAATTTGATTGCACTGTGATCTGAGAGACTGTTATGATTTTTGTTCTTTTGCATTTGCTGAGGAGTGATATACTTCCAATTATGTGGTCAATTTTAGAGTAGGTGCCATGCGGTGCTGAGAAGAATGTATATTCTGTGGATTTGGGGTGGAGAGTTCTGTAAATGTGTATTACATTTGCTTGGCCCAGATCTGAGTTCAAGTCCTGGATATCCTTGTTAATTTTCTGTCTCGTTGATCTAATGTTGACAGTGGAGTGTTAAAAGTCTCCCACTATTATTGTGTGGGAGTCTAAGTCTCGTTGTAGGTTGTTAAGAACTTGCTTTATGTATCTGGGTGCTCCTGTATTGGGTGCATATATATTTAGGATCATTAGCTCTTCTTGATGCATTGATATTTTTATCATTATGTAATGCCCTTCTTTGTCTCTTTTGATCTTTGTTGGTTTAAAGTCTATTTTATCAGAGACTAGGACTGCAACTCTTGCTTTTTTTTTGCTCTCCATTTGCTTGGTATATCTTCCTCCATCACTTTATTTTGAGCCTATGTGTATCCTTGCACGTGAGATGGGTTTCCTGGATACAGCACACCAATGGGTTTTGAATTTTTATCCAATTTGCCAGTCTATGTCTTTTGATTGGGGCATTTAGCTCATTTACATTTAAGGTTAATATTGTTCTGTGTGAATTTGATACTGCTGTTTTGATGGTAGCTGGATGTTTTGCCCATTAGTTGACACAGTTTCTTCATTGTGTCGATGGTCTTTACCATTTGGTAAGTTTTTGGAGTGGCTGGTACTGGTTGTTTCTTTCCTTGTTTAGTGCTTCTTTCAGGAGCTCTTGTAAAGCAGGCCTGGTGGTGATGAAATCTCTCAGCAATTGCTTGTCTATGAAGGATTTTCTTTCTCCTTCACTTATGAAGCTTAGTTTGGCTGGATATGAAGTTCTAGCTTGAAAGTTCTTTTCTTTAAGGATGTTGAATATTGGCCTCCACTTTCTTCTGGCTTGTAGGGTTTCTGCCAAGAGATCCACTGTGAGTCTGATGGGCTTCCCTTTGTGGGTAATCTGACCTTTATCTCTGGCTGCCCTTACCATTTTTTCCTTCATTTCAACCTGGTGAATCTAACGATTATGTGCCTTGGGGTTGCTCATCTTGATTAATATCTTTGTGATGTTCTATGTATTTCCTGGACTTGAATATTGGCCTGCCCTGCTAGGTTGAGGAAGTTCTCCTGGATAATATCCTGAAGAGTATTTTCCAGCTTGGATTGATTCTCTCCATCACATTCAGGTACACCTATCAAACGAACGTACATTAGGTCTTTTCACATAATCTCATATTTCTTGTAGGCTTTGTTCATTTCACTTTTTTTTTCTAATAGTGCCTTCTCATTTTATTTTAATGAGTTGATTTTCAATCTCTGATATCGTTTCTTCTGCTTGATTTGGCTACTGAAACTTGTGTGTGCTTCGTGAAGTCCAACCAGCCTTGTTCCCTTGCTGGTGAGGAGTTGTGATCCCTTGGAGGAGGAGAGGCATTCTGGTTCTTTGGTGTTTGTTTTAATCCTTTTTGTGCTGGTTTCTTCCCATCTTTGTGGATTTATCTCCCTGTGGTCCTTGTGGTTGGTAATTTTCGGATGGGGTCTCTGAGTGGACGTCCTTTTTGTTGATGATGAAGTTATTCCTTTCTGTTTTTCAAGTTTCCTTCTTACAAGGCCCTTTGCTGTAGGACTGCTGGAGGTCTGCTCCAGACCCTGCTTGCTTGGGGATCACCTGCAGTGGCTGCAGAATAGTAAAGGTTGCTGCCAGTTTCTTCTTCTGGTATCTTTGCCCCAGAAGGATACCTACCATATGTTAGCCTGGCCTCTCCTTTGTGAGGTGTCTCTTTGGATATACGGAGGTCAGGGAGCTGCTTGAGGAGACAGTCTATCCCTTATAGGAGCTCAAGTGCTGAGCTGTGACCTCCATTGTTCCGTTAAGAGCTGCTGGGCAGGTACATTTAAGTCTGCTGCAGCAGAACACATAACCGCCTTTTTTTCCCAGGTGCTCTGTCCCAGGAAGGTAGGGCTTTATCTCTAAGTTCCTGACATGCTGCTGCCTTTTTTCTGAGATGCCCTGCCCAGCGAGGAGGTAGCCTAGTCACAGTCTGCTAGTAGAGGTGTTGCTGAGCTGCCATGGGCTCTACCCAGCTGCTGTGTGAACTTCCTTGCAGTTTTGTTTATAGAGGTATAGTTAGTTAGAACTGCCTCAGTGATGGTGGACTGCCTCGGTAGTGGTGATGACCTTCCAGGGTCCAGCAGTGCTTTCTGTGAAACTCTCAATACACAGTGTTTCAGATTGCTGGTCTTTGTGTGGATGGGACCCACCAAGCTAGATTACCTGGCTTCCTGTTTCAGCCCCCTTTTGTTCAGTTGAACGGGCAACTTTGTCTCCCAGGTGTCAGTTGAAATGGCTGCCCAGATTTGTGTGTTTTTGTGCAGATATCTGCTGCGCCGGCTGAAACAGCCATGCTGGGGACTCGTAGCACTTTTCTTCCCAGGAATCTCATGGTCTCTGGGCAGTAAAAATTAATTTGGAGATGCGGTGATCACTTACCCTCTGCATTCTCGCTGGGAACTGCACTCCAGAGCTGTTCCTATTCAGAGATCAGGAAGGATTTTCAATATCAATTTTGCACAGAGCAGTGGTTCAGCCACTCTGATGGGGAGATCAGGGCACCCACTCATCTATCTAGCCTTGGCAGACCCAGGCCGCCCTCATCCAGCCTGCTGCGCCCACCGGTCCATGTACATCCAGGGTTGTCTTGGGAGCTACAAAGAGGAAAGAAAGAAAAAACGTTGCATTCTTAAGCCATTAAAGATTGATTCCAATGTAATTAAAAAGTAAGTAATGTGGGAGAAGATGCACACAACTTGCTCCCTCAAGTTCTAAATTGTCACCCAATATGAAAGATTTTAGTGAAAGTAAACGATGCTTCATCACCATCATCACTCTCGTCCCCTTCCATGTTTCTACTAGGACTCAGCTATTGATTCAACACAAAGGCTTAGAGCCTTTTCTAAACTATAGCAGATCCTAGTCCAAAATTTTGCTTGCCTAAAACATGTCCAGAACTGCTGTTTTCCCCAGCAGTCCTGCCTGCCCTGCCTCAATCAGAATTCAACATTACTATTTAGTAATGTTGAACAACCCAATTGTTGTTTGTTAATTGCTTTCTCTCTTTTTCTCTCATTTTTACCTCAGTCGTTTATTTTATTCCTTTTCGTAAAGATAACATTTGAACTGCCTAAGAACTATCTTTTTAAACTAAAATACACGCATCTTTGGAAACTGCAAATTTTGTGAGCTCAATCACTGTGCTTCTTATATAATTTGGGTCTACGCTTTGGTTCCCCCTAACTTATCCTGGCATTTTTAATTTGAATAGAAATAGGCACAGGCAAGATATGTTCATGAAATTTATAGTGCTTATTATTGTTATCTCTGTTTAGAATAACTATTTTATTAAAACATTCTAAAGGACACTGTCCACCATTCTTGACATTTGAAATGGCTCATGTGCTAGTGAACAAAGTCTACATGCTTATACGTTTGTACAACTAATTGGTGGGTTTTCCTTTATGTGCAGCTCCTGTACTGAGCAAAAGGTTTGTTGTTTAGCCATGAATTTTCTGTGAACTGTTTAGGAGAGTCATTATTTTCAGGGATCAGACCTGTGTGTTGTTAGGAACAAGAGGCCATCTTGTGCTTACATGCAGTGGTCTGTGTGTTTGTGTGTGCAGCGGTAACACTGAAGCCACTTACTCATGTGTATCACTCTACACATCACCCCCAAATTTAGTTGAAACAAGTAGAAAGGAGCAGTTTTCTAGCAATAGCACATTAGCTTCCTAAGCCTCCGGTTAGGATAAAAAAGAAGCGAGGGAGAGGGGAAAGAGGAGAGGGAGAGAGAGAAAGTGGCCATCTGTATGTTTCCTGACACAGCGGGATCACGTTTTTTCCTTAAAGAAAAAAAATCCAGCTTCACTACCTGATCCGGAGTCCCTCTGGCGTCCGCAGGAGGCTTCCTCCTTCCCAGGGCCCGGAGCTGGCTGCTGAGACCTGGGTGCAGCCCTGGGCGACTCCTCGGTCATTCGTGCATTCTGGTCAAGTTGATCCTAGAAGCCAAAAGCAGTTTTCAGGACTTCGTTGGCAACAGCCGCCGCCCCCCCCTTGTCTGGGAAGTCGCGTTGGCGGGTCACGGGGAGGGGCAGGAGGGATGGATGGACGCGGCCCCGCTCCGCAGTCGTCCAGGTAACGCCCCAAGATTCCAGAATCTGAGGCACTTTGGAAGCATCGCGAGGCGGGTGCGGACGGGCGGCCGAGGGAGGCCCCGCCCTGAGCACGTGGCCGGTGTCGTGGCCACGCGAGGGGTTCGAGGCCCCGGCTCCCGGGGTCCCCAGGTGTCTCCCGCTGTCCCCGTGAAATGAGGGTGCACCTGCGCCCCACGTGCCTTGGCCACAGGGCGGCCCCGCGCCCCGCTTCGGCCTCGGGCTGGGCCGCCCCCTGTATTTGTATTCAGATTCCTACGTTTGTATTTCTAACGCGAATAAACGCACTTGTCACAAACGCGCGAGCCGGGAGTGGACGCCTTTCTGGCTGGGGCGGGACGGTCGGGCCCTGTGCCCGCAGGGGTGACCCGACGCCCCTCGGGCGCGCTCCTCGGGGGAGCCCGGCCCGGCACGTTTCCCCGGCAGGAAGGGCACAGGCGGGTTTCCACGCCGCGCCCCTCCGCTGTCGCCAGAGGCCGTGGGCGGAGCCCCCGGGCCACCCTCCGAGGGCTGGAGACCTGCGCCAGCCGCCAGCCCAGCGGGCGACACGGCCGGGAAGGGCCGGACCCGCCGTCCACGCACCCGGGCGGCCCCGCAGGGGTCCCGGAGAAGGTGCCGCAGCCCCGCGCCCCAGGACGGCCACACCGCGCAGACACACGGAAACCCGCGGGGCCGCCGCGCACGGCGGAGAGCTGCGCGTTCTGTGCTTCGCCCCATTTGAATTGAGACACGTTTTAATAAAAAGGAACCGCTCCAGGTCCCGCCTGGGGCTGCGCTTACACCGGGGGGGGGGGGGGGGGGGGGGGGGGCGATGAGACATTTTTTGCAGCCTCTGACCCATTCCGTGGGAGCCCTAAACCCTAGAAGACGTTTTCTGACATGGACGGGGAAGTACGGCCGCAGTCGCTTCTCAGATCGCCTCAGTCTGGGCTTGAACTGTGGGCGTTTTCTGTTCGCGACCCCCCCCCCCCCAGAACTGCCGCCTTACCTTGCTTTCTGACCGGTGCCGTTGGCCCCTCCAGAACTTCATTAAAACAATGGCTGGTGCTTCCCGAGGACTGACCTCGTGCTAAAAACTAGGCACAAACTGAATCACTGAATCCTGAGAGCACCGTATAAAGGGAGTATTTGTCTTACCACGATTTTCTTGATGAGAAAATGGAGAGTTGCCCAATATTCTAAACCTAGAAAAAAGCAGAAAAAAGGATTGAAACGCTGGGAAATGTGACTTCAAAACCTCGAAACTCCCCTGCTTAGCTGCTACACTCTGCCCTCCATGTCTCCAAAACCTTGGGACTGTGGCGTGAACTTCAGAGAAAATTAATATGCCAGACATTCACTTTTTAGCTAATTTAAACCCACTTTTTTGGGGGGGGCGGGGAACCTTTACTTTCAAAGGGATAGTTGACAAATGTGCACAAATGGCACGATGAGGTCAGCTATGTTTGGTGGGGACCCACAGAAATCAGTAAGCTGCTTTCAAGGAAAAGGCACACTCAGAGGGCTCCCTCGCTGGGCTGCTTGATTGCTAAGTGAGGGGCAGGGCGAGCTCTTGCACAGACGTAGAGCAGTGGAGACTCCACATCAGGTCACTGTCCTGACTGTACTCACTGCCAGGTTGGAACTGAAACTGCTCCGGCGAGTTAAAGAGTCCAGCAACTAACAGACATTCCTGAGCTTGCAGGCGGCAGGTAAGAAAGAAAGAAACAGCCACTGAAACACTCATGAGATAACCAAACTTGCTCAGGTAGGTTGCAGCCACTATGGCCAACTAGAGTCTGCAGAGCGTGAGGCTGGTGACGCAGCAGTCCCGTTTCCATCACGTTTCACTCCAGCTCCCCCACCGTTGCATGTGACCCATGAGGTAACATGAAGAGATAACCGCCCACAGCCAAGGACTTTCCAGACTGCCCCTGTCCTTCCAGCACTCGCTCCTCACCTCAGAAACCACACCTGAAGATTTTCTCATGAACGTACTGCAGCGAATCCGGCACCAGGACATAGATTTGCGCTTGACTTCCAAGATACACTATTTCCACGAATGGCACCGTCCACCCAGTACTGCAGGCCCTGAACAAGGTTACATCCATGCACAGCCTGGAAGGAGCACCCCAAGTTCTGTTCCCCAGGAGGCGCACAGAAGAGGCTGCGGGGTCTCTAATATCTGTATTGGTAAGAGCCCGGGAGCATGCATGGGAACGTATTTTAAGGGTTTTAGAACCAGAAAGGACCACCTTTAAAGCCGATGTGGCTGTATTTATATACAAAGGGATTAAACACCGGAACCTTGAATACTAAGGTTTAGTTCTCAAGGTTCCTGGTGACCTGTCGTTCCAGTAAGGTGACTGCTGAAACCTAGATTTGCAGTTGCCTACAGCCAGAGAAAATGAGCCGCCAGCCCCACACACACACACTGTAAGGGGACAGGCTAAGTCTGTGGAAAACGGGGATGTCAGAGTGGGTTTCCCATGTGCAACTCATGTGAACGTAGGTGGGGGACCAGTATCCCCCACACTGAGTCTGAGGAAGGCACTCACGAGGGAGCCCCAACAACCACCAAGGCTCTGTAGTGGGCTGCAGGTGATGCCGTGATGGGAGAGGCCACCATGAACCTGGGATCTGCGGTTCCGGCGGAATCATGAACTCTGAGAGTCTCAGGGCCAGGTGGCATGACCTGACCTTCACTGACTCTAACAAGCCGCAGGGACCGAGGAGAGATCAGTGTTTTGACCCGGAGGCCTCAACACCATGGGTGTGATGCAGCCCCCTTCCTCAGGACACGGCTCTCTGCCTGGCTGCAGTTTCATTGCACTGCGCCCTTTGCATCCTTGCGCTGGGGTTAAGTGATTCTTCCTTCTCAGAACAGATACTATCCCAGGTATGAATTGGCCTTTCCCGCCCACACAGCACCTGTATGTCTATAGGGGGCCTCTTCCCTGCCATGGCAGACCATGTAACATTGCCAGTTAAACTAGAACTTCGGGAGTTCTCATAGATTTCTGAATGGTCTAGAAAGAAGTGCTTTTAGTGGAGGTGAATGTTTAAATAGCAATGTACAGTCAACACAAAAATACACCCACAATCTCCAGTCCGTAACACATTTTCCAGTAGGGATAGCTGTAGTCCCCTGAGGACCAATGCAATGGAAAGAAAGGCAAAAGACATAAATGTCAGAGGAGTTCCAGTGTCAACAGGTAAAAGAGCTGCCAAGGTTGCTGGAGACTCACCTGAATCCGACCTGTCACACCCACCACCTTCAGCCGTGCCACACAAATGTGAATAAAGTGTAAGTCTCCTCACCATATTGATCCAACATGGAGCAGAAAACCACTGCAGACAGGTGACGTGGCAGCCAACTGCATACGCCTGTTAGAAAGGTAAACCGAGGCACAGAATTTTAGAGTTTATTTGAGTGAGTAGTGATTCAGGAATCAGGCAGCTTTGAAGCAGAAGTGGTTTGGGAGTCTCACTTAGGAACCCAAGGGGAGGCTCGTATGAGACCCACAAGGAGGTAAAAGAAAGGAAATGTTTGGTTAGCTACAGTTCAAGCCCGCTGGAAAGTCCCTAGTAAGATAATCATAAGTGGGTTTGCTGCTTGTTAAGGGTTGAGCTTAAGCTTCATTTTATTTATTTATTTATTTATTTATTTTTATTTCTTTTAGAAACAGGGTCTCGCTCTGTCACCCAGGCTGGAGTGCAGTGGCACTTTCTTAGCTCACTGAAGCCTCGAGCTCCTGGGCTCAAGCCATCCTCTGGCACCAGCCTCCTGAGCTGCTGGGACTACAGGTGTGCACCTGTAAAATTAGCATGGCCTGTTTTTTTTGTTTTTATGTTTGTAGATATGAGGTCCTGTCTGTTGTCCAGGCTGGTCTTGAGCTCCTGGCCTCAAGAGACTGTCCCAGCCTCAGCCTCCAAAGTGCTGGGATTACAGAGACAGAGCACCACATTTGGCCAGATTCCTTTTTTTAATACTTGAAGTTAAGTTTTCCTTGTGTTTCTGAAGTCAGGCAAGGTTAAGGTCATGTATGAGGCCCGACCAATTTGTCCACTCAGGGATGCTTCAGGCCTGGTTTCCATTTCATTTCACTCCAACACACAGACCTAACAAGAAGCAGTATTTGGCATTTTAAAAGCAAGATGCAAAAATGTTCAAATTACTTGGTGATGGAAAGTTGAATTGTAAAAGAGCTTAACTCCTACACATTTTTTTCCCAAGAGGGAAAAATAATTGAGTAAACCAAACAAGAGAGAAATCCAAAGCTGAACGGAATAATTTTCCATAAAATAAAAGCCCTTTTAAAAACAGAAAGTTTAAAAAGCCAGTCATTTTCAATCCATTTTTTCCTTCCATTACACAGCCATTGTGCCTAACTTCTAAACATTTCCAAAATGCGGAGGCTGAAAAGCCTGACACTTGTGACTAAAGTAAGGTTCCTAAATGCTTCTCAGAAGAGTCTGATTTATTAGGTCTGGAGCAGGACCCAAGAATATGCGATTGGGAGCCACAGGCCTAACTGGACTAGGAGGAAGCAGAGAGGGAGCCGAGGGGAGGTGTGAATCTGAGCTCCTCCCGTTCAAATGAGAGGTACACATCAATCCATTAAATAGGTAATTGAGAAAGCATCTTGAAATTAGATTGAAAGAAGAAGTGTTCTCAGTAAGCAATGTAATCCCGAAATTCAGCAGTCTGGCCTGGCACGCTGTACTGGCCAGGGTAGGATGATACAACAGATAAACTGAAATGTCGGGGGTTCTCACCTCACGGTCTAGAACTGACAGCAGATACCCCCAGCCCAACCCACCATGCAGAGGCTCCACTTTCCCTTTCTTTACCGTGTCCAGCGGATGGGGAAGGGCGGATGGGGAAGGGCGGATGAGAGGCTCCATGCAGAAAGAGTTTATGGGCTGGGCCTGAAATGGCAACTTTTCATCAGCCAGAACGGAGGAAGCTGTGGCCACGGTCACCTCTGGCTCACTGCAGAGGAGGCTGGAAAACAGCATGCCCAGGGAGAACGTGGATTGTGGTGAGCGAAAGCCCCGCCATGCTGCTGCGCACAATTAAAGGGTGACTCTCTGTAGTCCAGATGTCAGAAGATAATATGAGGAATCCCTGGAGATCACACGCACACCGCCTGGTCTCCGGGGGACCCAAAGCATGGCAGGGCTTGACACTGGAAATTCAGACTGGGCCCATCCAGGTGCACCGAAGTCAGTCCACGTTTGCAGGTACATTAAAATGTGAGAGGCACTGCCTGGGCCAATTCAAAATTGTCTTCAAATTTTAGTTTTTGGTCTTAGGGTAACTTTCAAGGTCAGTGGAAATAAAAAGACTCCAATTTGATGAAAATTTGCCAGACATTTCCATGCACGTCACCTCAAATTTAACAGTGATTAAAATGATGATTTCACAGCACGATGACACATTCCAAATCCAGACCCCCCGGTGCCTGCATATGTCTCCAGTTCTAAGTCCTAAGAACTCTCTTGAGAACTCTAAGCACGCAAGAAACACACAGGCCTCAGAACGCATACAAGGCAGCCCTGTGTGCAGGTAGCTGGGGCTGTTTGAGGTGAAATTCAGATCAAATTCAGCACTTGCCTCACCTGCACCAATGCGTTAGGAAGCCCTGGCAGTCACCGTTACGTTGATGATTGATTGGGTAAAAGCGCCTGTGAGTGTGGGCCTAATCTGATTTTCACTCTCACCCTAAGCTCTGTCGGGCAGCATTGGCAGGACTTAAGCTCCGCATTATTTCTCTAGGGAAGGTCTTTCCATCTGTCAAACAACGAGCTCACTGACAAACTCACGGCCACTGGGTCCACAAGACACAGAATCTCCTGTGCTCCACACGACAGACATGGGAGGAAGTTACCCCAGAAGGTAACAGAAAGGTGTTCTGGAACTTCAAATACCTTCCCCAAAGTTGGTCACTTTTTGCCTCATTTCCAAATCATCCACCAAACATATTCTCTA